TATATATATATATGTGTGTGTGTGTGTGTGTGTGTGTGTGTGTGTAAATTACATAAGCACTTACTGCTGCTTACACACTGATACATCTTTAATAACTAACATTTTAATAACAATACTTATGTAATGCTACTTAAATAGGAGTTTGAGTGCAGGACTTTTACTTGTAATGGATTTTCAAGTAAAAGTCACTTTTTTATTGGTACTTTTAGCAATAAAACAAGTAAACAGTGTGTACCACCACATAGCAATGATAATTTATTTGTATTTTTTTGAAGATGTGACCAAGTGGGGAAAAGTACACAAAAAACAAAAGTGGTCCAAGTATTGATCCCTGTGGAACACCGTATTTGATCCTAGAACTAGAAAAAAGGATAATTACATATTTTAATTTAGTTTTGTGGACTTGTTACCCTGAATTGCAATTACGTTCATCGGATTTCTTTGTAATATTAAAAAACAGTTTTTTCATTATGTAAATCTTTTGACCTAATTAAGACTTTCATAAAGACTGGTCCTCTCTTCCTTCAGCTTCAGTGGCTGAATAAATACTATGAGACAATCCGGAGGGTGGTCGGTCCTGAGCTGGACAAACAGAGATTATATGAGGAGAAGGAATGGATGCTAAGAAACACCGAGCCCTTCATGGCGTCTGAATCTTCTGCAGGCATCTGTTCCTCTTCGCTGACCCTCATCATTCTTGCCATCGCTCTTCTTCACATTATTTGAACATGTCCATGTTTTTTGCACTTAATGCATTCACAGCAGACTTGCACAAATGTGGTTCACCTATGCAGTCTCTACTGAGCAGCTATACCAGGTTGAGAGATGAACTCCAGGGCTCCTTTGGAAAAGAGGTTGTAAACCTCAATGGGACTTCACCAAATAAAATAACATTTTTAATTAAAGGATATATTTGTTAAATAGTCAATTTATCTGAATAAATGTCTAGTAATGTGATGTTAAAATTTTAAATATCTCGTGTGATTTTTCTTTTTATTTTTATGTTGAAGCTTTTTGCCTTTTAAACTGGATATTTGTATGACCAGCTGATATAATTTCTATATTATTAAAATTCTTTAAAACTGAGGTGTGGACCAAACCAGTGACAGTGATCAATTTTTGTCTGGACAGAATCATAAAAGGCTTTAAACTGGACTATAACCTTAACAACAATGACTTCACTTCAACTGTTTAACTAACCAGATAGTTAATTAATAGTAGGATAATTTTGTAGTTAAACACTGTACATTTAAAACTAGTAGTATTTGTGTACTTTCAGATAACTGGTTTCATCTTTTCAACAGCTGTTAGTAGATCTTGTGGTTTTCTTCTTCCACATGCAAAGAGCTCATGTCCGCTGATGGCTTGTTGCCTGGCAACAGTTCTGTCAGTGTGTGCTGAAGATGTGAACATACTGCCTGCACACCACACCCTGCATCTGCATGTTCTTGTCAAACATGCATCACTAAAAGCACGTGAAGAAAAGACAAGTTCATCC